GTCTCTCTCTCTCTCTCTCAATTTTTAATTCGATCATTCACTTTATCCTGTCTTATCCTGTCATTTTATCTTTCTTCCTGTTTCACTTTTTCTGTGTGTGTAGTTGGCAGATGCTCTTGTGTGGTTTGCTCCTTCTTTCCTATGTAACATCTATCGTCCTAATCTCTCCTATTTTTGTTGTTGTGTTTGTTACACCTCAAATCTTCGGCACTTAAATGACTTAATTGTGTTGCAAATGCTATAAAACTCTTACCGTACTAAAACTGAACTCACATATTCTACTTTATCCAGTTTTAATTTTTTTGTTTGTCTCATCATGATTTGTCATTCATATATGTCTATCAGAGTGACCTGTGTTTCTGTCAGTGTGTGTTTGTCAGTGTGTGTCTATCAGTGTGTGTCTGTCAGTGCATCTGTCAGTGTGTCTCACTCTATTTTTATCTGTCTGACAGAGTGACCTACCAGGTGAGGGACTACTCTGCCTGTCATTGTGTCTGTCAGTGTGTCTGTCAGTGCGTCTGTCAGTGTGTCTTACTCTTATCTCTATCTGTCTGTCAGAGTGACCAACCAGGCAAGGGACTGCTGTGCCTGTTTGTCTATGAGTGCGTCTGTCAGTGTGTGTCTGTCAGTGTGTGTCTGTCTAATGCGTCTGTCTAATGCGTCTGTCAGTGTGTCTGTCACTGTGTTTGTCAGTGTGTCTCACTCTTATCCCTATCTGTCACAGAGTGACCTACCAGGTGGGGGACTACTGTGTCAGTGTGTTTCTATCGTTGTGCCTGTCAGTGTGTCTCACTCTTATCCCTATCCGTCTTTCAGAGTGACCTACCAGGTGAGGGACTACTGTGCATGTGTTTCTATCAGTGTGTCTGTTAGTATGTCTCTCAGTGTGTCCGTCAGTGTGTCTGTCAGTGTGTCTCACTCTATCTCTATCTGTCTAGCAGAATGAACTACCAGGTGAGGGACTACTGCCTCTGAGTGTCTATCAATGTGTCAGTTAGTATGTCTGTCAGTGTGTCTGTCAGTGTGTCTCACTCTTATCTCTACATGTCCATCAGAGTGACCTACCAGATGCGGGACTACTATATCAGTGTGTGTCTGTCAGTGCGTGTCTGTCAGTGCATCTGTCAGTGCGTCTCACTGTTATTTCTATCTGTCCGTCAGCGTGACCTACCAGGTGAGGGACTACTGCCAGCGCAACTCGCTGCACGTGGAGGCCATTGACCACCCGGACAAGTCTCGGCACATCGCGCCCGGCGCGGCGGCCGGAATTCCCAACGTCTTGTTCCTGGCCATGTTGGCGAACCACGAGAACAAGCAGGTGGAGCTGGTGTTGTCGGTCAAGTCGGAGTGAGTACACCACGCTGACGCGTCTGGGTAGTTGGAGGGCGCCACTTGTAGATTCTTTATGGTTGCGTTTAAGCACCAGCTGGCTATCCCGATAAATGGTATTTTGAGAAAATCAAAGGTAAAGTTTTTGCTCCTTGTTCAATTTCTTTAAAAGACAAGGGGAGTTTTCTCATAACTGAACAAATATACAACTAATGAAACGAAACTTCTCCTATAGGTAGGGCAATGCCTACTTTTGGTGTAAGTCCGAAATCTGGGTTAGCCAGCTTGTCCTTAAAAGTGACCAAATGAATTTCTTTTTTTTTCCCTTCTGGTTGTTTCTGTCTATCTGTCTTGCATTGTGTCGATGTGCTTCTCTTTAATCAAACTCATAAACAGATTTTTCACTGCTGCACTTTAATTACACATTTGTGTTGCAAGTGCTGTAAAACTCTTCATAATCACTATCACCACCACCACCACCACCACCATCACTATCATCATCATCATCATTATTATCATCATCACTGCTTTTTTTCATATTGCATCCAGGCTATAGGCTATGAGCAAACACTTTCCACCTTTTCCTATCCTAGGCTACCCTCTTGATATTATTCCATATCTTCCCACTTTTGTGCACCTCCTTATCTGTGACTCTTTTCCTATTTCCTTGTTCCATGTGGCCTTCCCCTTCTAAAACTCTTACTGAAACTGAAAATAAAATAATGAAAACAAAAAAAAGGACTGTCCTACTTCTTGTTTTTCTTTTTTATTCCCTTATATAATCAAATCTTTGGCACTTGTATGACCTAAAGTGTTGCAAAATCCCGTTAAAGGCCCGGCGTTTTGTCTTTGGAAAAGGCACTTTACACAAATTTTTCTCAAATCACCCAGGTGAGAATAGGTACCTGGCTACAGACGGCAAAAGATCATGTCAGTTTATTAGTTTTTGAGCTCGTGCATTCCACAGTTTGCACTCACTGTATGCTTCTTGGAAAACCGAGAATGTTTCTGAGTGTTTGAGGGTCTGGTGGGAGTAATAATAGCTGTAAAGCGCATAGAACATGCTGTTGAACATGGATATGCGCTATATAAAGCCAATTATTATTATTATTATTATTATTATTATTATTATTATTATTATTATTATTGTTACTATTATTATTGTTGTTGT